CGGGGGTCTCCCCACCCCTCTAACCCCCCCTGCCCCCTCCCCAGATGAAGCTGATGGGCTCCATCAGGGAGAGCATCGTGCAGCAGCGCTTCCCCGAGTTCGTGCAGGAGTTCATGGACACCATGTACGGGGGGCGGGGGGGACCCCCAGCCTGGGCTCGGGAGGCTCTGGAGTCTGTGGGGATCCCCCTGCGCTGAGGGGACCCCCCTGACCCGGGGGAACCCCCCCAAAAATCCCTGGGGAACCCCCTATGGATTCCTGGGGGAACCCCTCTGGATCTCAGGGGACTCCCCCTGATCCTTGGGAGCCCCCCCAATCCCTGGGGACCCCCTTGGATCTTGGGGGAACCCCCTCAGGATCCCAGGAGAACCCCCCCCCAATCCCCGGGAACCCCCTATGGATCCCAGAACCCCCCTGACCCTGGGGAGCCCCCCTAGATCCTGGGGAACCCCTCTGGATCCTGGGGAGCCCCCCCAGTCCCTGGGGAACCCCCCTGACCCTGGGGAACCCCCTCAATTACCAGCCCCCCCTTTCCCCCCCAGCCCAGTGTATTTTTAGACATTTTTGGGGTTTGTTTCTTCTCTTTTTTACGGTTTTGGCGGGGATTTTTTATGGTTTTGGGGTTTTTAAGGGGTGGGAAATAAAAGAGTTTGGAAGGGAAATGGCTCCCGTGGTTCCAGGTGGGGCTGGGGGGGTCCTGGTGGCCATGGTGGCACCTGGACAGTGACACCTCTCTGTCCGTGGTGGCACCCGTGTGGTGACACCTGTGTGGTGACACCTCTCTGCCCATGGTGACACCCATGTGGTGGCCCCGGCGTGCCCTCGGTGACACCTGTGTGGTGACACCTGTGTGCCCCTGGTCACACCTGAACAGTGACACCGGCGTGCCCATGGTGGCACCTGGACAGTGACACCTCTCTGTCTGTGGTGACACCTGTGTGGTGGCACCTGTGTGACCATGGTGGCAGCTGTGTGCCCCTGGTCACACCTGGACAGTGACACCCGTGTGGTGGCACTGCCATGCCCTCGGTGACACCCGTGTGGTGGCACTGCCGTGCCCTCGGTGACACCCGTGTGGTGGCACTGCCGTGCCCTCGGTGACACCTGAGTGCCCTTGGTGACACCTCTGTGGTGGCCCCTGCATGCCCTCGGTGACCCCCGTGTGGTGGCACTGCCGTGCCCTCGGTGGCCCCTCTGTGGTGGCACTGCCATGCCCATGGTGACACCTCTGTGGTGACACCTGAGTGCCCCTGGTGACACCCGTGTGGTGGCACTGCCGTGCCCATGGTGACACCTGAGTGCCCCTGGTGACACCCGTGTGGTGGCCCCGCCGTGCCCTCGGTGGCCCCGTGTGACCGCAGCAGGAAGTTTGAGGAGGGCGGGTGTGGCCGGGGGGCGTGGCCCGGGGGCGTGGCCCGGGCCGGGCGTGGCACCTGCGTCACCCGTGCCCGCGCATTTCTGCCGCCGGCGGGCACGGCGGGCACAGAGCCACGGCGGGCGGGACACTGGGAGCACTGGGAGCCACTGGGACACACTGTGAGTGACTGGGAGCCACTGGGAGTGACTGGGACACACTGGGAGGCACTGGGAGCACTGGGACGGGCTGCAGCTGCCACTGGAGTCACTGGGAGCCACTGGGAGTGACTGGGAGCTGCGACTGGAGTCACTGGGAAGGTCTGGGAGTAGTGCCTGAAATGAACTGGGAGCACTGGGAAGGGCTGGAGCTGCGACTGGAGTCACTGGGAGTGACTGGGAGTACTGGGAAGGGCTGGGATTGGCACTTGGAGTTAACTGGGAGGCACTGGGAGCACTGGGAACGGCTGGAGCTGTAACTGGAGTTCACTGGGAGCCACTGGGAGTGACTGGGACACACTGGGAGTCACTGGGAGCACTGGGACGGGCTGCAGCTGCCACTGCAGGTTACTGGGAGCACTGGGAGCCACTGGGAGTGACTGGGAGCTGCCACTGGAGGTTACTGGGAGCACTGGGAGCACTGGGAAGGGCTGGAATTGGCACTTGGAGTTAACTGGGAGGCACTGGGAGCACTGGGAAGGGCTGGGAGCAGCCCTGGGGCTGACTGGGAGGCACTGGGAGCACTGGGAGCAGCCCTGGGGCTAACTGGGAGGCACTGGGAGCACTGGGAGCAGCCCAGTGCAGGTTTCCCGGTGCTGCTGCTCCCCGTTCCCGGCAGCGTGGGCTGCCCTTTGTCCCTCTGTCCCTCTGTCCCTCTGTCCCACCCTGCCCGGGGTGCAGCTGATAGCGAGGGACTCACCCCAGTGCTGGGGGAACTGGGAGGCACTGGGAAGGGCTGGGAGCAGCACTGGTTTAACTGGGAGCAGCACGAGTTAACTGGGACACACTGGGAGCCGCTGGGAGCAGCACTGGGCTTAACTGGGAGGCACTGGGAGGCACTGGGAGCAGCACTGGGGTTAACTGGGAGCAGCACTGGGTTAACTGGGAGGCACTGGGAAGACTGGGAAGGGCTGAGAGCAGCACTGGGCTTAACTGGGAGGCACTGGGAGGCACTGGGAAGGGCTGGGAGTGGCTGAGGGAACTGGGAAGGGCTGGATGTGGCACCGGGGCAAACTGGGGGGAACTGGGAAAGCCCAGGTCGGGCACCCAGGAAGCCCCAGGGGGGCACCTGGGCAGGGGCTCAGGGGGGGATTGGGGTGTTTAGGGAACGGGGTCTGGGGGGGATCTGGGGGGGATTGGGATCTGGCTGGGACTGGGATGCTCAGAGAGCGGGATCTGGGTGGGATCCCGGTGCCAGTGGGATTCGAGTGCCAACATTTGGGATCTGGCTGGGATTGGGGAGCAGGATCTGGGTTGGATTGGGATGCTCAGGGAGGGATCTGTCTGGGATTAGGAACTGGGGGGGATTGGGGTGCTTGGGAGCAGGATCTGGGTGGGTTTGGGATGCCCAGGGAACGGGATCTGGCTGGGATCTGGCTGGGATTGGGATCTGGGTTGGACTGGGATGCTCAAGGAGGGATCTGGCTGGGATTGGGATCTGTTTGGGATTGGGATCTGGCTGGGATTGGGGAGCAGGATCTGGGTTGGACTGGGATGCTCAAGGAGGGATCTGGCTGGGGTTGGGATCTGGGGGGGATTGGGATCTGGCTGGGATTGGGATCTGGCTGGGGTTGGGATCTGGGGGGGATTGGGATCTGGCTGGGACTGGGATCTGGCTGGGATTGGGATCTGGGGGGGATTGGGATCTGGCTGGGATTGGGATGCTCAGGGAACGGGACGTGTCTGGGATCGCGGTGCCGGTGGGATCCGAGTGCCAGCATTTGGCCACAGCAGCACCGCTGTGCCCACCAGGATCCCGGCGCTGCCAGCCCGATGCCGGCGCTGGGCCCGGCGTCACCAGCCCGATGCTGGTGCCGAGCCCAGCCCGACCCCCCGTCCCACCCCCCAGGTGCACCATGAAGCTCCCCCCGAGCTGCCGCCTGCTCCTGCTGCCGGCGGCCGCGGCGCTGACCCTGCTGGCGCTGCACGCCCGCCGCCCGCCGCCCCCTCCCAGCGC